GTCGTGGAGCGGGACGGGGGCAGGGGACGCGGCCGCCCCAGCGCCGGCGGGCCACGGGCTGCAGGACGGCGGGTACGGGGCTCGGCCTCGCCCGGCCGGCTGCTCCTAACACCCGGCGGGCGGCGGCGGCGGCACTTCCGGGTTGGCCTTCTCCATGTTGAGCTCGGGAACGCGACGGGGCGGGGCAGGGCGGGGCTGCGGGGTCAGGGGTCAGCGCCTCCCTGGTTGCCGTGGCGACCGGGGGCGCGCAGCGCGAGCTTCCCCGCCCAGGGCTGGGCGCTCCTCCCTGGTTTCGCGCTCGCTGCTGGGGCCTGGAAGGGAGCTGGGCCCCGGGGACGTGGGGGCCTGCACAGGCCAGCAGGGAGGCTCCAGGGGGGAGCGGCGGAGTGCTCCTGAGAGGTGGCTACCAAGGCCCGGGCCTGCACGATCTAGGGAGAGACCCGATTTCAGTCCTTGGAAACTAACACAGTTTGGTTGTACCCTGATGCCTGGCGCCTGGCACAGAGCGGGCGTTATAGATAAATGGTGGCGGGATGCGTCAGTCCTCTTCATTGACCGAAAACACACTTTTCCCCAACCCCTTACCCGCTCTTCTCTAATTCCATGGAAAGACATCCCCCACCCCCAACGGAAGAGAGGAAAGCAGATAAAAGATTCCCAAACCAACACAGGAATTTAAAAAGATCTGGAGAGACACTGGCTAGAGTCAAAAGACCTGGTTCCTGAACCCCATGTCGGCCACCATCAGTCTGTGTGACCTTGGACAAGTCATTTCCCCTCCCTGACCCCTCAGTCTCTCCAGGGGCAAGAAGACTGTGTCTAGGACACCCTCTGGGCACTCCCAGTCCCGTAAGACTATCCAACTTCCGAAGCCAAACCCAGAAATGATTCTCATTCACCAGGAGCTACAGACTGTTGCCTTACCTGCACTTAAGGGCACAACCTGATGGACACCAGTGCTGTTGGAAAGGAGGAGGCTTTTTTTTTTTTTTTAAAGATTTTATTTATTTATTTGAGAGAGAGAATGAGATAGAGAGAGCATGAGAGGGGGGAGGGGCAGAGGGAGAAGCAGACTCCCCGCTGAGCAGGGAGCCCGATGCGGGACTCGATCCGGGACTCCGGGATCATGACCTGAGCCGAAGGCAGTCGCTTAACCAACTGAGCCACCCAGGCGCCCAAGGAGGAGGCTTTTTAAGAGAAGGAAATGGAGATCTGTTAATACTGAGCTTTTTCTGGACTAGCCAGATCTACTGGGAAAAGTATGGGTAATGGCTGATGAGTCGGGAGCCCTGCTGGGATGTTCTGTCTCTGCTGGAAATTCAGTATGTAGCCTGTGATGGGCACTTAGCTTCCTTGGGGCAAGGGACTGAGATTCTGGGAGCCTCCATCTCTTTGTCCATACATTGTAGATAAAATGGCTATTGGATTGTAGATAGCTTTTTATTTTATTGTGACTAAAATAGTTTGGAGGAGTATTCTGAGATAATGTACATTTCCTAGCATAGTGTGGCACTGGGTCTCCTTTTGCCCTTCTATTTCTCAATTATAAGAGATATTTATATACTACTTTTATTGTATTTATTTCTGTTCATGGCTTATCTTCCCAAGGAAATTCTAAATTCTTTGGACTGCCTTGTGTATCATGGATCATCCCTTCACAGTGCCTAGCATTCAGTAGGTACTTGGTTTATTGAATGACTTAATGCCTCTTTTCCCTTTATAGGATGAATTTTGAGAGTAAAACAATTTGATGGGTGTGCATATACTTTTCCAACTAAAAATGACCATAAGAGTAAGATAGAGTGTTTATTATTTTTAGGCAAGGTTCAAAACTTTTCCATTTGAAGACATTATGTTCTCCATGTTCCTCAGGGTCCCATGTTTACAGGATACTAGCTGCGGCCCTTAAAACTAACAAACAAGGGCCTTTTCATTAAATATTTATTGAATGGAGGTATGTGAGGGCCCAATATATTTGCGTCAGAAGAGCAGTCATTGAAGAACCTTAGTGGGAGAGGGAATGACCTTATATATTATTTTAGTCTTGTGGAAGGAAGGTACTTTTCTAACACTAAAGGACAATGACACAAACCTCAAAGAGCACCCAAATTCTAGCACATTCTTTCAGGGACCCACTGACACTTAACTAGTGTCTACAGATTTCCTTTCATGTATTAGAAACTCCCAATTTTTTAGTGCTGCTTACACACAGTGGCTGGTGTGAGTTCTGCGTGAAGTAGGTGCTTCAAAAAGAGACACTAGATTAATTTACCACCAGAATCTTCAGGGAAACAAACTATAGATTAATCTTCAGTAATCCTGAGCTAGATACCATCTAGAGTGAAAAGACCTGGTTTTAGGTCATTCTACGGAAAGCATACTATAAAAATGTTAAAAAAAAAAAAAAAGCAGAATTTTCCATCTCTGAGACACAGTGTATGAAAAGACCATATGTGGAAAATAAAACAAAATCATCATCGTACTGTGAATATAGCATCTGGATCCCAGAGTGAGCAGTTGTCAACTTTAAAGAAAAATATTCTTAGGGATTTTTAGAGAGTGCACTGAATAGTCAATGGTGGAATTTCAACCAGCCTCTCTAGAGAGAAATAATTTGACACCTGAAACTTACAAAAACAAAATAAACATCATGAAAACAAATTTAAGTTTAGAATTTTTACAAATTGCACTTTTAAAAGTCTTCATGTCTCTATTAAATGTTGTAAATAAATAAATGATAGGCAATTAATTATGATAGTGGATGTGTGTTTCTAAAGAGCTTAAATTGTTTGGTAAGCTTTATTAATGATTATAAACTTGTTTACAAGTATCATTTCACTCATCTCTGAAATATAGTTATCTCTAGGGTGGAAGTTGGCAGCAATAGTTCACAGCAATGCAATAACATACTCCGCCAACACAATTCAGGGAATACTCTAAAGGCAAGAGCTAAACAACTAGAATTACTAGCATCTCTTCCTGTAGCACCTAAATTTCTTTTGAGTTTTCCCAAAACCTCGCTAGAGCCAAAATTGTTTAGATTTACTATCTGGCAAGATCAGAAGTTATGACCTAATGTTTGTAAGCCAGAATAAGAAAATAGCCTATTTTTGCCCCAGAGAAGAAAATAAAGGACAGCAACAAAAATGAGCTAAATGGAAGCCAGAATTACATTGTAAAAGTGAAGTGATTTCCTATAAGAAAGTGTTTTTCTTTTCTGATTGCTTATTAAAAGAGTAAAAACCATGTCAGTTAGGTCAAATATGTAGTTGGGTCAGAGAGAGAAATAATGGCAGTTATTTAAGATCTGGAATCAAAGTGGTTCTGCAAAATGTTTATTGTCTTATAGTTTTAAAAATCCTTCTTACTAATTTTAAGATCTACTGGGGCAGTAATTTAAAAGGGGGAGAAGGATTGCATACATAAAGACAACATACCAGAGTTGAAGAGAGTCACTTTTTTTTTTTTTTATCCTGCACATATCCTATGTCTAATGATATGTGCAGAGATGTTTGGTATTGAGAAACCAAATACCAGGGCTTAGGAAAATAACACATCTTAAAGGAGTAAAATGCTGAAATTTCTAATTTTAAACTGTTATAATGCCTGTTGCAATGAATAAGAACGATTTTACCAGAAAGTAAAAATAGTCAACACTTATTCTCCAATAGTGGAGGATTTCACCAGTTGAAAATATTTACTAAGTGCTGCACCTTTAAGTCAAGTCCCATAAGGAGACTTATTCCAAGCACTGTGAAAGATTTTTCCCTTTGGGCATCAGCGTCTCTAAAATTGCACCTTGTGAATCGATTGTAGGACAATTATAGTGCTCTTAGTGTTTAAATAACCCACTAGGTCACTCCCATGTACATTATATAACAGATATTCATTATTTTCCAGTTGGAGGTTCAGAGACATAAGGGCAACAAGAAGCTTTCCCCAAATATCATCACAATCTTCAGACTTCAAATACACACACACATGCACACACACAGTTCAAATATACATACAACTCAAATATATACAAAACTTATATACATATGGCAAAACTCCAGAGTTATGTTGAAGATACATAGATAGATTAATCTTCACATAACCAGTCAAAAAAAAAGAACGAAAGAAAGAAAGAAAGAAAAGAGTGTTTGGCAAGTTGATTTGAAATTATCACAATAAGCTAGTATCTGGGGGGTTTTGATGATCATTTTGTTTTCATCACTGGATTGATTGATTTATCTTCTGGGATGGAGCAGTGTATGGACACAGTTTGTGGTACTTGAGAAGCAGTGTGGTGTGTAATATAAAGAACTCTAGTCAGCAACCTGGGTCTTAATCCCAAGTCTGCCTATTACTAGCTACATCTCTTTAGGGAAGTAATTTTCCTTCCTTGGACCTCTGTTTCTTCATCTGTAAAATAAGAGTCTATAATAGGAACCACTAAAGCATTCTATAATATTTAATAATTCGAAGTAGTACGTCCACAACACGAAGAAGCAAATTGCATTTTAATTTAATTGAATTTGGTCAATATACTAAAGCAGATTCCC